ATATCGAGGAAAATAAAAAAGAGAAAAGGAAAGAATGGGATTATGAAAAAATGATGTAAAAAATAAACAAAGAGAGAAAAAAAGAAAAAAAATAGAAAAAAGATAATGCAGCAATCTGGCGCCGATTAAATATAAATATAGACATGATTGGTTGGGACAGTTTATTCACTGAGAGTTGTGCAAGCGACTTGGATCCTGGCATACAAGTAAAAGGTATAAAAAAATCAAAAAAATCAACCCCCCCCGAAGAAACAGAAACTAATCTTAAGAATCAGAACAGTACAATTCTTAACATACTATGAGTGACAACTCATCTACCGTATATAGTCATGTATAAGCCGACTTCATGTTTTGCGCGACCCCTGAAATTTTTGGCATAAATTTTAACCCCTCCAGAAAATTTTACCTGTCTATAGTGCAACCAGTCACCGAAAATACATGATTTTAACCTTTTTTTTAAAAAAGAAATTACCTGTGCGACCCACTATTTTTGCGTAAAAACTTATCATAAAAAACTCGTACTATACTTGAGTAAATCAAAGTGGAAGGTGAGACAAGAAAATAATCCCTGTCAAATAGTATCTGCATCATGGCGTTCTATATTAACAGGCCTCTGCGTAACGCCGCTACCTCGATAGACTGGAGGCCGGCTGACAATTAGATCGTTTTAGTTTCAATTTGAGCAAACTGCTGCGTACTGTGTACTCTTATGTTGTTGGCTCAAGATATTCAAAGGAATCTTTTAATTTTACCTTTGGTTGGAATATCATTTAACTTATTTATTTGAAGTAAGTATATTTTATTATTTTAGTTTGAGTCCATACATTATATATATTTAAATTGTAAAAAGTAAACTTTTGTGCTTAAATTTACTCGCACAATAAGATTTACTTAAGTTTAAAAAGCTTTAAAATTTTTAAATTACAGTTTAATTCATTTTTGGCATTTTCCCTCTTAAAGTTTGTTCAACATTTTTTGATTAAAGTTTAAAGAATTATTTATTGATAAAATGCAATTCTTTTTGAGTAATTTGTGTTATTTTAAGAAGCAAAACAAAACAACGTTTAACAAATTTGAACAGAATTTAATTTTGTTTCTTCAAAGACGTAAAGAAAACTATTTTTATTATTAAATGAATTAAAAATTTTTTTTCATCAATTCAATGTCATTACTTAATTTGATATTTATTTTTGATATCGCTAAAAAAACATTGTTAGTATGAGTGAAAACATAACGTCAACGAAATTAAAGTTTAATTTTCTCAAGTTTTTAACCATGATAAAAAAATTAGCATAAGTCAACATTTTTCTATTGAAAGTTTAAGTTTGAATAATAAATTTGAATAAAATTTTAATAGAGAAAGGTTCATTAACATTTCTCTATTAAAACTTTATCCAACATTTCCATTAAAAGTAAAAAAAAAAAACAAAACAAACGAATTTCTTCGCTCTTTTGTTTCCGAAGTTAAAGAATAAATGATTATTTTTACTACACTAATTACCAATTGGTGAACTGTAAGTATTTTTTTACTTATTAGAATTAAAGAAAAAATAACAATAATAAATTACATGCAGTTAATGTCAATATTTTAATTATTTTTTTTTTAGAAAGGTTTCCTTTTTTACGCCTTTTGACTACAAATTTTATTTTACAAGACAAGTACCATTTTATTTATCATATTTATTTTAATATTTTTTTGATATTGTTGCTAAAGGACAAAATGCATTATTTTTACTTTACTTTTAATTGTTTTGCTTTAAGGTAAAAAAAAGTTATATATATTCCTATTTATATAGTTTAAACTAAAGCGTATTAAAATAACCAAACTAAAGGAAAGGCTACTTATGAATGTTTTTAAATTTAATATAAAGTTAACAACATTGGCCTTCAAATTTTGATACTTTAAAGTTAATGGAAAAATACGTTAAAAAAATCCACCATCTGTATGGCCAGGTGTGCCAAATAGTCAAATACCAACACCCCCAGCTGTTCAAAGGAATATAAAAAAAAAGTCCAGTACTGTTAGAAATCAAATTGCTGATGAACTTAATGCTTTTTTAGAATTAGATAAAATTATACAAATTTGAAAGAAAGTCTGCTTAACAACAAAAAAGACTTTATATGTCCAGTTGTAGCATTTTTGGATGAAAATATTTTAACTGTTCAATTATCAAAATCTATTGATGGTATTCCTCTCTTTTTGTTGAAAATTTATAACAATTTGCGCTTTGAAACATTTCATTATAGAGTTAAGCGTTATATGAACAGCCTGTCCAAAAATCATATAAATACAGTTGATACTTGGTCAAAACTGGAAGAAATCATCCGATATTTAAATTCTATGGCTTTTGATCACAAGAAAAATATCCTGAGTCAACAATTTTTAGCAATGGCTCCCAAAATGGTTGGAATAAAATACACTCAGATATAGTTGTGCATGCTTTTTGGGTACTATGCAAGATCACGGACATTGTATAATGAATTAAGATATGATTTTCAATTACTCTCATTAGCAACGTTATGAAGGATGACGTCAAAAGTTTCAAAACTTAATGAAAAATCTTTTTTGTTATCTATATTTAATACTCTTAATACCAGTCAAAAAGGGTGTATAATTCTCCATGATGAAGTATATATAAAAAAAGATGTTGCTATATCATGGCAAACAACTATTTGGTAAATCAGTTGACAATCCATCTGTACTTGCTCAAACAGTACTTGGTATAATGTTCATATGTCTCAATGGGGGTCCAAATTTTCTTACAAAATTGATTCCAATTTCAAAATTAACATCAGCTTTTTTATTTGAACAAATTGAGTTAACAGTCCAAGACATCACATCTGTACCAGCTGATGTAAAGGCTATTATATGTGATGGCAACTGCGTAAATCAAGCTTTTTTAAATTATATCCTACACTTCCTGAAAAACCTTGGTTAACTGAAGATAATAAACATTTGCTTTTTGATTATGTTCATCTGTTGAAAAATATTCGCAATTTGTGGCTAACAAAAAAAAAACAGGAGAACTAATCTTTGATGATGATGGAGTAAGTCGAGTTGCAAAATGGACACATCTTAAACAGTTACATCGTTTTGAATCTGAAAGACTAGTCAAACTTTCAGATTTAAATGAAATTTCCATTGCTCCAAAGCCAATAGAAAGACAACGACTACTTTTCTGAAAAAAAACATATAATGCACTTCTCACTCAGTCTGAAATAAGTGCAGGTAAGAATGATACTGCCCTCTTCATAAACAAGGTTTTGACATGGTGAAAAATTTTAAATGTTAAATGCCTTCAAATTGATAAATTACATAATGATCCTCTACAAGCTGAAATCAAATCTCCAAATGACACCCGACTTGATTTTATCATTGAATTTGGTAAAATGGCTCTTAATATGGCTGGCAGTCAAGGTAATCGTAAAAAAACAATTATCCCAAAACGCTGCTACTGCCATACATCATATTTGCAATGGAATTGTTAGTCTATGTCGACACCTTTTAGCTACAAGTCATAAATATGTACTACTTGGGCAATTTTCAACTGATCCATTAGAAAAAGAATTTGGTAAACTTCGCCAAGGATCAGGTGGCACCTATTTTATAAATGTTCAACAATGTATTGAAAAGCTGCATATTAAGCAGACATTTAAATCAAAATGTAAATATTGATGAATTTGATGTTAATCCAGGTCACCAATGTACATCTTGTGATTATAAACTTTGTGAGGAAGGTTCAGAAATATTTGACAATCTGAAAAATTTAGAACCATCTCTTTCCAATGAAATAAAAATGGCTCTTGTGTACATAGATGGATATATTACAAGAAATGATAATCAACCCAGTGAATGTGAAACCCATTTTTATTATGAAAAGTATGGAAAATATACCAATTTAATTGACCGTGGAAAACTAAAAGTTCCTTCTGACCACACTTGTCAATGGTTATTTTTTGTTTCATCCTTTTCCATACAATAAAGGAAAAGGTTTGCTATAAATCATTAAGTAACATTTTTATGCTTATTTATGAGTTTCATTTTTTCAACATGGAGAAAAAACGTGCTTCTATTTTTGCAAATATAGTTTTGAAAATTTTTTGCAAACATGGCACACCTAGATCAGAAAAAGAACCAGCGCTAAAAGTTTTGAAACTTTCCTAGAATGATTTTGTTTTATTTGTCTATATTTCTGTGATGATTGATTGTTATATACACACTTCGGCTGATGTCTTCCAGCCTTCTTGGGTTCTGTTTGTCAAACCCAGTAACTGTAGTGTAAATTTAAACCAAAGTCTTTATTCACACACAGGGAATAGATTGAATAAAGGATTCAGTGACACCTGTAAATAATATAAATTTCTGATTCAATATATCTTTTACCAGAAATCATAGTTACCACTGTGTGTTGTTTAATAATTATCAGTGTTCATAGCAAAAATACATATTTTCATTTATTTATCTTTCAACACATCCTATTATCCTTAGGTGTGAATAAAAATGTTATTCTAAGTATTTCATAAAGTGGTTGACTTCATTCTCTTTTAAAATTTCTGAAAATCCTACATTTTTCAATAGGCCTCCAGTTCTGGCTCTCAGTTGCGCCATGACTTGGCCTGAATTATAGAACGCCATGATCTGTATACATGATGGTAAAACGGAAGGAGAAAAAGATTGAAAAATACCAGGACATTAAATACTAATTACCTAAGCTGTGGATTGATTGATTTGTTTGTTACATCTTATCAACCTTTTTCAGGTTATTTAAAGCCATAAAATATTTTTAGATTGTAAGAAATTTTGTGAAATAATAATGTTTTTTTATTGACACAAGATCTACTAATTAACCCATTGCTCGGAGGAGAAATGCTAGATTAATGACTTTTCCAATGTTTTTGCACATACATGAATATAACGAACCCGACTGGAATTGGAACTCAGCTCACTAGTTTTCATTTCTTAGCCGTTAACCATTACACCAACTGAACGTCAAGTTTATGGCACCTTTCATTCCTAAGCGATCATCCGTCTAGGTACTGATCAGGCTCGACGTTGCTTGACTTCGGTGATCGTACGAGAACCAGTGTTCCAACGTGATATGACCATAAACCGATATGCAGTACAAAACGAGAGTGAAGATAGTGCCTGCAATTACAGGAACAGCCGTAAAGAAGATGGCGGAGTTAAGAATACAATAAAATGTTAATACACTACGGATCAAAGCAATTAAAGAATACAGGAATACTGACAAGAAAGTTGGCGAAGACTCACTCAATTGGACGGAAACGACGACTGTCAACTTCTATTGTGTAGATACAGAAGACGAATGAGATTATGAAAAAGATGTTGGCAATAAGAGAGATATTGGACACGAAGAAGCGAAATTGACAAAAAAGACGGTAGAAATGGGGATATAGAGCAAGTGGGGATGAGAAAATAATAATAACGATCGTATTAATTATTTTGATGATGATTATGTTAAGGTAACGGTTCTTAAGGTAAGAAATTTTGGCGGCAGTTGGCTTCTTCGTATAAATAAAATAAATTCTACGACTGAACATTGACATAAAAGCTTAATTAGATGTGACAGAGATAAGGAGATTCAATATAATAAAATATAGCTTTGGAAGTAAGCAGAGAAAGGCAATAAAAAAAATAACCTTGCTTCTTATTTCTATGCATGTCTACTTCTGAATAACCAACCAATAAAATAAAAGATTAAGTAAAATTTATTTCATTTAGATCCTTAATAATTGATTCTTCTTCTACTAAGTACCGTGTCTGTTCAGGACGTGGGTGATCATAGCTCTTCATAATTTCCTATTTTTTGTAGCGTTTAGTAAGATTTGTCTTTTCGCCATCACTCCCAGTTCCTTTTCTGCCATCCATTTGCACAGGGTTGTTAGGTAGGCTACTCACTGATTCCTTCTTGCTTACAGTACATTCTTTGAGTATCAAATTCACCAAGACCTTTTTCCTCATTTAATCATCGAGTTACATTTTTATTTTTTTATTACTTATTTCGACGGTAACAAATTTTCTGGTTATTCCCTCGTTCACCTCGTTGGACTTTAATTTTCTTATTTTATTGTCTTTATTTTTTGACCTGCAGTGCGAGCTTTTATGACCCACTCTTTTACAGTTGAAACATTTTTTATTCCTAAAATTGCAATATCTGTACCAGTGTAGTTCACCGCAAGCAAAACATGGTTTCGGGAGGTTTTGTTTATTTTTCTCTGTTATTTCACTTTTTGTTTGATAATCCGCAATTTTAGAATTCTTTTTGGTAGACTGACTTTCTTTTTTGTAGCGTATTTTCCTTACATGCGAAACGCCAGACTGTTCTATCTTTTTTTAATCTTTCTTTGCGCTAACATATCTTCTGTATCGTAAGACTTGGATTGCTTTCCAATTTTGCCAGTACTAATTTTCTCAACTCTACGTCTCTTTCCGATACCAGCCCTTGAACAAACACCAAGCACTTAAAATTGTCTGCGCTTAACTCTGCCAGCTTGAATTCTTCACGATGCTTATTCACATTGGCTGTGTACGTTATATAGTCTTGTTCGTCATCTTTCATCAGATTCAAACATTTCCCCCTCTTGTGAAACAGAGATGTCTTTTTACTAAATAATTCACTTAATATATTTACCGCCTCGGTAAATGTCAACTCGCTAGTTTTTTTTTTGGTAAAATGTAGTTTACCATTTGGTAAAATGTAGTTTTCCTAATTTGTTTAAAAGAAACCTAACCTTCTTTCCTTCAGGCCACGAGTGGCAGTCCTCGTTATACACGTCCGTATATTTTTTTATGATACTCCTCAAAAGTTATCTCTTCATTTGGACTGTACATGGATATTTCAATTGAATTCCATATTGTATTCTCTGGGAAAGAATCGTTTTGTAGATTTTTCTCTTTCCTCTTCTCAGTTATTTCCAGAATTTTGTTTTGAAACTCCCTATGCATCTATTCCATTTTTTGTTGAAATTACATTTGTCTATTAAATGTTTCTTCCTGTAGCTGCATCTGGAATGTTTTCTGCAGTTCTAATATTGTCATCTGTTGTTCCGACTGGAAGTTAAAGAATTCCCGTAAATATTTTTGCATTCCTCCATCTTCGCAAAAGTTTACACAATGCGTAAATAATGTAGAGGGGGGGGTCGTACAAATTTGCAATTCGTGACCTATTTGAGCACACTGTATTATCGAGAAAAAAATTTTCTTTTCTCAGTTGAGAATACGACAGATTTTTTCGTCATTAAGTTGACGTCTTGGCTTGCGAAAAACTTTGCCAATGTTTTTTGTTTTTTTTAAGTGTGAATTTGACGCCGAAATTATTGTGGCGAGCGAAGTTTTTTCTTCCTCCGTATGCGTACGAATTTCGTCGCCAAACGTTATTGTGGCGAGCGAATTTTTTTCTTCCTCCGTATGCGTACGAATTTCGTCACCAAACGTTATTGTGGCGAGCGAATTTTTTTCTTCCTCCGTATGCGTACGAATTTCGTCACCAAACGTTATTGTGGCGAGCGAATTTTTTTCTCTCCACCGTATGAATCCGAATCCCTCGTCGCCAAATATTGTTGTGGAGTTATTCCGCAGTGGAGGCTTGTATTTGTACTAAGTCGGTCCTAAAATAGGTTCGACGTACAAAACGTTAGGAACTTGATATAATAGGCATTACGCAGAGTAATCTAGTTGTGGTCGCTGATACTTTCGTATTCGACTAACTGACATCGACTTACTGACTGACCGCCTCGTTACTCTTACTACTTCTACTTATTATAGGTGGGAGAGTCTATTAACTATAGAATAGGTGTGTTCCACCATAACATTTGTGGAACTCTCTTTTGGCTTACTGCTTTCCAATTAACTTTGATCTTCAAAAATTTAAATACAATGTTAATCAGCATCTTTTGCTTCCTTAATTCCTGTTTCTTTGTCCTATTTCCTTTAATGGTTTTTTCCCCAGATTCCTTCACACTCAATAACCTTTTACACCTGAGTGGCGTTATCACCTGATTATGGTGAAATGATTAAAAGGATGTGATTTTGCGGTTATGATGAACATTCGTTTACTGTTTATTTTTAGCGCTGTTTCTAAGTTTTGGCATATTCTTGGAGCTTACTTACAGTTATCTGGCGATAGTACAAGACATAGCTTCAGAAGTATTAATCGTCATTACAGCCAGTAACAAACGGGGCATTGGAATATGACCGCTCACGGATTGTTACAGTCGCAAGATATCTGGGAACAATAAATTAGTCATATTTTATGATGTATGCAGTTTACGGGCCACATGAACATGTTTACTGCCTGGGTAAATGCAAGTAATCATGAGCATTATTTTTCACTGAGCTCACGACGTTAGAGTGTGACCAAAAACCTTTAAAAAAGATACCGTGTGTCTTTTATTAAGTTGAAAAGATAACCGTACCTAATGGTTACTATCGTTATTTATTTATGATTTTGAAGCCATGACATTTGGAAGATATTCCACTCATATTTCGCAAAATGAAAATCAGTAGAGTACGTTACCCGTTTTTGGAATGATCACCATTTTATGTCAGATGTTATTGTCCATGAACTATATTTAGCGATAGGATATATATTGATGTGAAAGAGATAATGTAGTAATAGTATTGTGGTCCAATGGAATATTTTCTCCAACAGAAGATAAGAATGAATACAAACAATATTGTTCATTTAACAAAATTCCATTATCTTAGCTAACTAAACAGAAACAAAAAATATAAAAAGAGGTAAATGGAAGTATTATCTGATCTGCTGACCCAGGTTTTTGTTGATTTTGTCGGGATTTCAAATATTTAACAACTCATCTTTTAAATGAAAAAAGGTTTTCTTCTGTCATAAGAAGATAACCTTTTTTCAATCAGATCATTCTAATTTGTTTGTGAGTTGGCAGATAACAGCTTTGTAGGCACCTGCTAGTTATTCCCTTCTATTATGTGCGTGGACAAGGCCTTAGACGGCGACTGATAGCTGTCGTCTCTTCCATTGTGTGTATGTGTGAAGGTGCGTGTGTGCGTGTGCGCACATGTAGATCAAACTAGCTTCCGAAATTGTTTTGACCCCTTGAACTTTTTGAATACATGGTTTTCATTAGTTAGGAAATTCACACTGGCTCGTGAAAATGTTTTTCTCGTATCCGCAAATACGAGAAAAAGATTTTCGCGAATCAGTGGTGAAAGGAGTTATTATTATTATTTTCTAAATGGTTCAAAAATGACATGTGGTAGGTCTACAACTACGTCCGCAAGTATTTTGGCGATATTTGCCCTAGTAATTATTGTTTATGAAACAAACCTTCTGATGGGATTTTATTGATTGAAAAATATATATACAGGATTTACTTCCCATAGTTTGTATATTGAGTTGTTATTTGTACGTATACGATGCATAAAGTCCTATTGAAAATGTTGAGAGGATTGCGTCTGAGAAGAATTTTTTGTTGCCTTGATAGAGTTTAGGACATTTATATGCTGAATTGTGGGACAAGTAGTTCGCTGTTGACTGGAACTCAAAGAATTTAAAAGTATAATGGATTTTAATTGGTCAATAAATTAAGGGACTCATCATGTGACCTATTTCTCTTATACCCGAACTTATCAGGAGCAGCTGTATTTAAGTGTAAAAATATGATCAAAGCTAATTAATATGTGCATTACAGTTCAAATTAAAAGATTAGGCGCTAAATTCAAATTGGGTTCTGAGTATTGTAATTGTTTCATTTTAAGTATTTTTATTATTGGTTAGTTTGAATTTGAAAATGGCTCTGTTATGAAAGGGTTGGTGTGTCTACATATGTAAAAGGAAAATATTGATGTTGATGCTTTAAATCTAAACAAGGCTTAATCGATTTTTTTAATTTAAAATAATCTATTTTTCGTATTTCTGTTTTTTGGGGGTTTTTTTTTTCAGAAATCATGGAACGTTGTTTTTATATAATAACAGTGTTTTGATAATACGGAATTTTTGTAAAGAATTATCGGAAAATACTAATCCACTGTATTTTCAAAAGAAATTTTGAAATTGCTTTCAGTTAATTAAATGTTAGCAGATACAGAAGCCATTTTCTTAAACAACACA